GCCAGGAACCTTGCAGGACTGGGGAGCACTGGGGGAGGATGCTCCGGCTCACTGCCTCCCACCTCTTCCCCTGCTCTGTCCAGGGTTTGGGAACAGATACAGGCCGCCCTGAGCAGCCTGTGGTGAGAGCAAGCCCAGGCTACAGGAGGGTCTGCCATTTACATGGGGCATCCACCATCATTTTGGTTTCCTTTGGTTCAGCTCCTGATACCCAGGGACTCACTTGGAGGGAGCCCCACGGAAGGTGAGGAAGTAATTATTTGCATAAAGCTGTCAAATCAGAAGTAACACTCCACTTTTTCTCCTCATTCTTCTGTCTCGGGTCCTGTCCGTGGCTCTGGGTCACCATCCCTCAGACAGAGGAGAAGATGGAGACTCAAAGATTAAGTCTCTGCAACACTGCATCTTGCTTCAAGTCCGGGCTGGCTCCTGTGTGCCCACGTGGCATCTCAGCAGCTCTGCGCTGCGCAGCCCTGGCTCGGACCTGACACATCAGACCAGCTTCTCAAGGCGTATGTTCTCAGGCCCCTTCACACACCTCCAGATTATGCAGAACCCCAGAGGTGTTTGCGAACATGGGTTACATCTACCCATATTTACTGCTTGAAACTAAAACTGAAAATTTTCATAAATATTTTAATTCATTTAAATAAATCTGTTACAGTTATGGTAAAAATTATACTTTTCCAAAACAAAGATGTTTAGTGAGAAGTATGGCATGGTTTTTACACTTTTGCAAATATCTTTAATGCCCAGCTTGACAGAGGACTCCTCTATCTGCTCGTGCATTTAGCTATTACCATAGTGCACAGGTCTGGAAAACTCCACTGCATACTCAGAGAGAGTAAGAACAAAACACCAGTACTGTCTTAGTATTGTTATGCAAATAGTTTTAACAGAGTTCTTGAAAGGGTCTCAGGGGGATCCAACCAACAATTTGAGAACAAATGCATGATACTCTATGGATGCAATGTGTGTCATTTGTAAAGCAAATCCTTTGACTATAAGGATCCACATCATAGTATTTGTGAAATCATAATGTATCTTGCCGTTGCCCAATCCTGTCATGCACCATTCGCTTGGGAGTCCATCTTTTAGTCCATGGTGTCTTAGAATCAGGCACCATATTATAATAATTGCAGGAGCAAACATCTGGATGGGATACTCTTTGGGCTGCTCTCATTCACATCTTCCAGGGGCCTGCGCAGCATTGAGCTGGCACCTAAATGGACCTGGGCATGGGGTACAGATGCTGGGCTGGACTGGGCCCTGCTGGACTAGCATGCAGGGTACAGGAGGAGTCCTCCCTACAGCCTGCTCTAGCCCCTGCCCCCCACTCTACCTGGGGCTCCCCACTCAGCCTTCTAGGATAGTGAGCTATTCAGGACAAGCTGTTGCTGTGGGCACCTCAAGGGAGGGAGAGGGTGAAGTCCATCCTCTGTGCCCGGGGCCTGGCACCAAGCCATTCCTGAGATGCAGGCTGAGGGAGGCAGGTGGGCTCTCCACATTGGGAAACCTGAGTTTCCAAAGCCCATTCACTCGCAGCAGATGGAGGCTGAGCCAGGAGGAGGGTCTTCCCCGCAGGGCAGCTGTCGTTGGCAGAGCCGAGGGTGTAACTCTACACAGGGAAGCTGTGCTTGGCAGCTCCTCCTGCCTCTGAAGATAAGCAGGGCAGAGCCTCGTGCTGGGGCCTTCTGTCGGAGGGGCTGCTTGGAGTCCCTGTGAGTGGGGCGTGCTGGGAGAGTCGAGGCTCCGGGGAAGCACCCAGGTGTCTGCCCCTTAGCGGGCACCTAGCTTGCCTCTCCCTCTCCTGGGCATGCTCCCTTACTTGTCATAGATGTTGGGGAATTTGCCTTGTTCCTGCTCTCTCTGGGATCCCCAGCCCAGTACCCAGTGCAGTGCTCAGGGCTGATGAAAATGAATATTTTAAATGCATCAGGGTAAATGGGTTTTGGGTGTGTTTTTTTTTTTTTTTAAACAGGGTCTTGCTATGTTGCCCAGGCTGGCTTTGAACTCCTGGACTTCATTGATTCTCCTGCCTCAGCCTCCTGAATAGCTGGGATGCCAGGTGAGTGTCATGGAACCCTGTGGGAAGTATGTATATCTATATCTCAAGCAGACCCCCTGGACACCCTAAGCTCTCCCACCCACCATCATCCACAAACCTCTGCTCCCAGAGGCCCTGTGTGAAAGGGTGAGATAGCGCTTTGTTAACCCACTCACAGTGCAGTGCTTGGTGCTGGGTCAGGTTCAGAGCTGGCCAGTGCCAGGGCACCGGTACCACCCCTGGAAGGGGCTCAGAGCCCAGCCTTGCATTGTTCATAACACCAAGCCCCAAGAGAAGTGGCCACTGGCCCAGGAAGTGCAGCTTGCCCTAGGTCAGCTGAATCCACCTGGAGCCTTCCTTGACAGCAGACAAAGGGAGAGCGGCCAGGCTGACCACAGCTAGAAGTGAGAACTGGACCATTCTGGGAGTCCTCGCTTGGCACACCAGGAGTCCTGGAGGCTGCCCACCCCGCACAGACGATTAGGGCTGCCCCAGGAGGTAGAGGGGTGTGGGGCCAGGTCTTTTGGGGAGGAACCCTGCGCTTGGACTTGGAGGGCAGCTATGGCAGCATGCCAAGCCAAGCCTCAGGCTGGGTGCTGGAGTCCTGGCTCGGGACAGACCTGTTGCTGAGGGGCTGAAGCACCTTCCCCACCCCCACCCATGAGCCTCCTGGTGTCCTCTGTGGTCAAAGAAGCAACATCCTTAAGGTCCCTCCTCTCTTCAACTCTGCCTCCAGACGCGGAAGAAATCATCCTCATGTCCAACAAGCCATGATAACCACATCCCCAAGTCCCCACTTTGCCATGCTCGGGAATGTCCCGTGTCAAGTGTGACAGGTGGGCAGAGGAGGAGGTGAGGAGCAGGATCTAGATACATGAGGGGCTCCTGGGCCGGGGCAAACAGGTCCATCTGGGCCCGCCGAGCTGGGGGTCCTGTTCAACCAGGGGGTGCAGCCACCCCGACCCCTCACAAGGCACCTGACAACTGCTGTGTCTTCTGAGTCAGGTTGGAGTGGAGAGTGGAGATGTCCTATCCCGAGAGGCCCAGAAAGGGACAGATTTGCAGCACACAAATCCCTCCCAGCTGGCTGTAGAAAGCCTGTGACATTGGGAGTCTAGGTCTTCTTTCCAGAGTCCTTCAGCACTTAGGGTCAGCAGAGTCTTGGCTCCCCGTGGGTCCATGATCCCACGGGCACTGTAGACCGTATGTGCAGGCTGTGGCTCACCTCAGCTCAGAAGCTGCTGGGAGGGCCACGCTGGACCTGTTTGTCTAGGGCCCTCAGCTGGCATTGAGCCAGACCTCTCCACCAACCGTCCCCGTCCCCTGGGTCCTTGGTGGGAGAAGTCCAAACAAGAGAGAACACGAAGCTCAGATTTAGGAATGGGGAGCCCAGCTTTGGGGAGTGTTTGTAAAGTACAAATAAGAGAATCCAAAAATAGGAGAAAGGAGGTGTGTGATAAATGCGGGAACACAATGAGAAGCAACAGTTAGGCCTCAGTTAGAAGAAAACTCCTTTCCTGAGGCTTCCTGCCCTGTCACCGTGGGCTGCATCCATATCACAGGCATCTTGGAAAAGGTGAAGAAAGGAAAACAGAACTCCAGCTGGCTCAGCAGCCACGAGACCAACCCTCCTCTCCCTGATTCTAATGCCACAAGCTTTCGCTTAATAACGACCTTGTGGTGGATCTGGCTTTAATCAGAAGCAAAAATGGCTTCAGGAAAAGGAAAAAGCTTCCACACAAGAGTTTAAAAACCAGAACCCCACCCTGCTCAGAGAACATTCCTTCAACGTGGCCCAGGCCTCTGGGTCTCTGTCATCCACACCCCTAGTGACCCCCAAAAAGACGTCTTCCTAACCTTTTCTGCTTAGGTGACCTCCCTGCTCAAACACCTGCAAAGCCTCCCCTTGTGCCAGGGATGGCGTCCTATTTCCTGGGTTGAATTCTCAGGTCCAGGGTGAGCTCTGCCTCTGCTCAAGGCTCCAGTGTCGTCTTCCTGCAGATTCGGGACCTCGGCTCTGGCACCTCCACTGCCTCATGTGTCCCAGTGACTCACTGATACTCACTCAGGCATCCCCGGGGGGGGGGGGGTCCTCCAGCTCATGGAAGTGGTCACCTCCATAAGCTTCGACCTTCTTCAGGCTTCCTGCTTTGGTTATCTGAAGGCAAGAACCTGGTGGGGCCCAGGTGGTGAGCTGACCACAGAGTCCATTTCCTCTTCCTGAGCACACAGTGTGGACTACACTCCCCAAGTCCCCTTGCAATTAGGCATGGCCGTGTGACCCACATGGAGCCCAGGAACGTGGGCAGAAGTGATTTGCTACCCTTCTAAGTCTAGCCTATGAAATTCTTCTCTTCTAATAGGTAGGTTGGAAGAGAGAGGACCTTGAGGATGACCTTGGGGAGCCACATATTGAACGGGGTGGTTCCATGGGATGCAAGAAGCCTGGGAAGATGGCTTCCTAGGAGAGTAGCCCCACCAGGCACACACAAATCGACTACTGCTTGAAGATATTCAAATGGGTAAGTCCATCTGTTACACAGCTAACACTGCCTTACCTAGAATACCTGGCTTCATCTCAACTCTCCACCCCACTCCCTGTACTCAGAAACCAAGTCCCATCAGTGACTTACTCCCTCTGAATCCCCACGTTACTAGCTCTGGCCTTGCCATCCCTAAGACCTAACCCGCCTATGCCCACCCTTCCCCAGATAGCCACCTCCCCTTAGTCTGAGTCCCCAAGTGCTCACACAGAGAACAGCCTGAACCCCAGCCTCAAGGGAGATGTGAGCGTGGGAAGATGAACCAGGTGAGCAGCCTCCCTCAGCTGGACCCAGCCAACCCTCAAGACACTGGATTTCATAGAGGTTTGTTAAGGAGCAAAAGTTAACTGGTATAATGATTTTGGGGAGGGGTACTGGGGATTGAACTCAGGAGCACTTGACCACTGAACTACATCCCCAGCCCTATTTGGTATTTTATTTAGAGACAGGGTCTCACTGCTTTGCTTAGTGCCTCGCCATTGCTGAGGCTGGCTTTGAACTTTAGATCCTCCTGCCACCACACGCAGCAATAATTCTTAGATTTCACACATGCCTGCCAAAAGAGAGCCTGGTTTTTTTCTTTGCTTTGTCTTGTCCCTTCCTCCAAGTCTAGAGCATGTCAAAAGCAGAGAGAGTGACGCTGGTGCACCAGGAATGGCCAGGACATGCAGAGCCAAGGAACAGAGGGGACAAATGGAGCCCGGATGAGATCATTTGAGCCCAGGACACCTAGTCATGCAAGCCCAAGATAATCTTTCCTTTTGGTCTCTATTTCTTCACTGAGCAACCCAAAGGCTCCTGGCTCTTGAAAGGTTCCTTCTTTCCCTGTCTCCTGAGCTCCTCAAGGGCAACAACTTGGTTTCATTCATCGTGTGTCTCCTGTGTCATCACAGACACAGGACATGGGCTTGATAAATGTAAACTGTCCACAATAAATGTTCAACCAGAAAGAACTGACCCAAAAGTGTTGTCCCAAAAAAGCCCCAAGATTCCATCATTCTTCACTGAAGAGCACTTTTCCAGAAAAATCTAGAACACACTAGGAGGGAGGAAGCCTTAGGCCCATCCAATCCAGTTTGTTCCCATCCGGTCCAGTTTACTTTCTGGGACTCTGGAGGTCTTGATCGATGATCCCAAGCCTGAGTCCTCAGCACAGGGCAGCTTGTGGAGATTCTACTGCAAAGCTGACAGGAATGTCTCCAGGCACAAGGAACCACAGGAAGAGGAGATCAGGGGCCTGGAAATGGACGTGAGGCGGGCGTGATTCACCAACAGGGAAGGCATTATGCAGGGCTGTGCAGAAACGGATCCTGTTTAAAAGGCGACAGTTTGTTTAGCTGTAATTGCAGGTCTCACCAGCTGATGGAAGTTCTTTCTGTCCCTAGAGAAATTTAATAGAGCAATAACGGTTTTAATGACACCGCTCCCAATACTCTAGCCCAGCGCAGGGTGCCATACGGTCAAAGTGCTCTCAGAAATGGGCATTAATCAACCTCCCAGAGTAGCTGTGACCTGCCGCTCTGAAGGCTTTCTTCCATTGTCCCCATACATCTTCAGTGGGTGTCCCTGGGATGGGTAGACTGAGGCAGGGAGGCACCACTGTACTCAGGTGAAGAAGGGGAGACTCTGGGAGGCCCTGTCTCCTCCTCCACTGCTCCTGCAAGGTCCAGCTCCAAGATTTAGGGACCACCTCAGGCAAGAAGGCCCTTTGGCCTCAGAAAGAGCTGGTTCCAATCCTGGCTTCCTCATCACTGGATCTGTCACTGTGGGCAAAGCATTGAGCACCTGAGTCTCCGCTTCATCCATCAAAGTGTGCTAACTACGCCTCCTTCATGGGGTGCTGCTGTGAGGGCCCCAGGAAACAGTGTTGTAAACCTACACATCCACACCCCACAGAAGGCCACAACACCCAACAGGGGCCACGTTGCCCTCTAGAAAGGAAACAGCACACAGGCTGCAAGTCCCCGAGTCCACACGCACTCCTGAGTCCTGGCAGCAGGTCACCAGAGAGGGTGCCTTACGACAGCCCCCCACCCTGCCTTCTGGTCTCCCCACGGCCTGCTTGTCCTGGGGCTGCAGGAGGAAACCCAGGAAGCAAGGTCAACCTGAGGGCAGTGAGGGAAACCGAGGCAGGGACCAAAGTGCATCTGGGGTGCATCCTCAAGCCCATGTGCAGAGAAGCCAGTGACTGGTCCACATGGGGCTTCCCTGACTCTGGCTCCAGATACCTGCACCCAGACCCAGAGTGCGGGTGACCCAGTGTCTCTGTCATCAGGAGGAGTCCAGCGCAGCAGGCCCGTGCAGGAGCCTCCCTCAGCTCAGTGTTTTCGGGCTTGGGCCAGGCTCTGAGTTCACTAGAGAGTTGCCATGAGCGTTGGCTGGGGACACACTACCCTGTGGGTTTGCTCTATGTGGCAGGCTTGTGTGCCTTTACAGAGCTCTGGGCAAAGTGACAACACACACATTTGCTTGTCATGGTGCACAACGGGGGTGGGCTCAGCAACACCTCCACCCCCAGCAGGGAGTGCACTGGCCAAGTCCAGAGGACAGGTGGGATGACTCCCTCTCAGCGTCCACAGTTAAGAGGGCAGGTGGGGAGCCGACAGAGGGTCTCCTGGTGGGGGCAGGTGTAGTTCTTCCTCCCACGTGAACTCCATTAGGAGAGAGAGTCCCTGCCCTCACCTAGGGTGACCACCTTTGTCCGGGATGTTGTCATTAAAAGTCTCACGTCCCAGGGGACGCTTCATCCTGGGATGCTGGTTATTTCTGAGCCCAGGACACACATGTAGGAGAAGCTGAACAAGTATTTACTGCATGAACAAATAAATTCAATTGAGTTCAGAGTAATGCCGTCTGACTGCACAGGCTCATCAGGGAGGTGACAAAGCAGCCTATTTCCTGTGTGCCTTGCACTTTTCAATCTGCCTCGATAGGTCCTGCTGCTCCTGAAGGTGCTGGGTGGAGAAGTTCATCCTCCTTCTCACGAGCAAGCCTGAGCCATCCTGCCTGCCTCCCAGCTCTGGGAAGCCACGGGTCCAGGGTCACTCCTGGATGGGAGGCCCCAGCAAGGGGGAGGCCAGTATGATGTGAGGTCCCAGGAGGGCACAGAGAGTCTCAGGGTCCAGCGCCCTCCTGCCCCCCGTCATGGAGCCCCTCCTTCCGGGGCCTGCTGGGTCTGCACGTTTTTATAGCAAGAAAGAGCGAGTCCTGCGTTTCCTTCCAGACGTTTCTCAAAAGCGTCTTGGCAGAGGGTAAGTTGGAAGTGGTCCCAGTAAAAAACGGGCTTCTCCTTGCCCAGGAAGGAGGGAAGCTCCCCGGAGTTCAGAGGTGCCCGAGGAGGGAGGGAGCAGAGACACTGCACCAGCCGCAAGACCCTGGCAACAGCCAGCAGCTTCTGGCTTGAAGCCGAGAGAGTGCCCAGTGCGGTCCAGCTGCAGCAGACAGACAACCATGACCTCACTGCAGGTAATTAGGAGGCTGCGGGAGGCAGCAGTCGCAGGCCTCACCTGAGGGGAGAACAGCCTAACCTGCCCCAGCCGGCTGTGCATCATGTCACAGGGGCAGTTGAGAAGTCTGTCTCAGGAGCAAGAGGGTCACCGCCTTCCTGGACACGGGGCAGTTAAGATCCATCTCTGAACTCTGGGGAGAATATTCTGGAATCCTTGTGGACTGCCAAGGCTTGGTGAGTCTGTCTCACACTCACCGCTGGGCACAGACCCCTGAGGAGCTGCCCTGGCTGGGTGGGAGACCCTGAGGGGACACAGGCACCCGTGAGCAGCTAGGCTGAGGGGTGGCACTGGCTGGTCACCGGAAGAGTCTGCAGCAGAATTCTGCCTTCTGGCCCCTCCCTGCCCTGCTACCTTCAGACCTCTGGAGAGCAGGTCCATCCCCTGCTTTCCTTCCCTCTCTGCAAAGCCATCCCGTGATGTCCCTGTGCAGAGCACAAACAGGGCTTGGTCCCTCCATGTCTTTGGATGTGCAGGGTCCACTGAGGATTGGGCATTTGTCTGGGGCCCCCAACAGAACACAGTACAGCAGAGAGTGGGGGAGGTGCATGGCCAAACACAGGCCATCAACATGGAGGACAGCAGAAGCCTTGGGCCACCCCTGGCGATGGTGAACGTGGCATTGCAGGTAGTAGGTGAGCACTCTGCCTCTTTGCCTGCTGGGTGAGTCAGAGAGAGGGCTGCTCTTGGCCTGGACCTTAGTGACTGGGCCACAGGGAGTCTAAGCTGGTCCCTAAGCCCCGTATGGCTTGGTGCCTCCGTGCTCCATGTTGGGCATGATTATAAAGCAAAGCTCTAGGAAGAACTCTTCTATGGGGAGGAAGAAGCTTGAGACTGACAAGCCCTGGTGTTGGTGGCCAGTGGGCAGGCAGGAGGCCGGGCACAGGCAGCCTTCTCCAGAGCCCTGGCAGTGACAACTCTACTTTCCCCACGTTTATTTTTTGCTACAGCCTCTCTGGCAGTGTCCATGCTGGGCCCTGGAGTGCCTCGCCTTGATCAGCAGAGCTCATTCGGCCCGTGCAGGACTGTGTTTGGGGCAACGTGGCGGCCCTGAGCAGCCGTAGGAGCATTTCTGCAGGAAGGCTCCCAGGGACCACTGGGCCAGCCAGGCCTGACATCTCAGAATGAGGCCCCTCTAGTTATGGGGCACACACTGCCAGGGAGCTCCCCTTGATCCCTGGCAAGAGGTGGAGAGCTGGGGAAACCCTGCAGGGGAGAGGAGCAGCAGCCCCCTGGGGTGGAGGCAGAGAGGGCGATGAGGCATTAGGGCTGGGCCACCAGTGCCTCCACCAGTACCATGCTGCTCCCTCAGTCTGTCCAGGCTGGTCTGAAAACGACTGGGGCTGCAGCAGACACCCTCGTCCATCTGTAAATGTCATCCACATCCCAGACTCACCTGTGTGCCTGTCTACCTGAGAGCCCATCTTGACCTCTGCTCCCCACCTGACCCTGAGTCCCCAGGTTGACATTGCGGGACTGGACTCCTGTCTTGGCACCCTGGCCTTGCCTCTGCCTCTGCCCTCAGCTTTGGACAGTATGAGGAGATAGTCACCCCTGCCCTTGTCCACCTGCAGGTGGGGTTGGCTTCTCTGCCAAGTTCTTCCCTTGTTGGCAGAGCCCCCCTGAGGAGCAGACAGGAGCGCTGGTTATCGTCCCTACCACTCCTGCTCCCTCATGGGCAGGTGAAGAGCCCTCAGACACCACAGAAGGCCATCCCACACTCCTGTCTCCAGCACGCCTTCCCTGGACTCATTTTTGCCCCCGCTACCTGGCACTTGCTGCTCTCCCTTGGGGTCCTCCAAGCCTCTCCATAGTGGGGGCGGCAATGTCTGGGCGCTGCTGCCAGTTTGGGCTGTTTTGCAGAAGGAAGTGTGGGCTCTGGGCTCTGGTCTGAGGATCTGGGTGCTGGGGTTGCTTCCGGACTCCAGTGTCACCTGCCTGCTATGTCACTGATTGTCATAGGAAGCTCATCTGGCTAAAGCCATTGTTCATTTACCTGCTAGGAGCAAAATAATGTAGCGCCCTGTGCAGAAACACCCTCTTGGCCACACAGCTTTGGCCCTGCTCCCTGAATAAGGTGGCCTCAGAGCCCCACGGAACCCCACTCCTCCCACAGCCCAGCTTGTCACCCCACGGTGGGACCTGCAGAGAGCTAGCTCTGCACGGCTGGCCACAACTAGACAGCACACCATCCTGCTCCACACAGAAGGGATCACCCGTCACTGCTGCCAGGTCACCTGATGTAGAGGACTCTGAAGAGAACTGAACCCAGGGTCAGACGGCTCTGAACTTGAATCCTGACTCTTGGGCTTCTTAACCCAGGACCCTGAAGCAGGTACTAAATGTCCTCAGCCTGTTTTCCTCATCAGTCAGTAAGCCTCCGTGGGTGAAAGCTGACCCCCCTGTCAAGGGCTGTCCCCAAAGTCAGGATCTGGATGCTACAGGGAGAGCAGAGGGGAAAGCCAGTCTGCAGGCCCACCAGCTAATGAGGATTACCACACTGGAGTCCACGTCTAGGGGTCTGCAAGGGCCACTGAAGACGGCACTCGGGAACACCCAGGGCTACCAACTCTCACCATTAGCATTTGGTTTGTGGGTGAGTTCTGGAGGGTCTGCATGTTTGCCAAGCAACCTGCTAGTTCCCTGGGGATGTGGCCCATGCTCCAGTCCATATTCCCTCGGGATTCAGACTAAGGGCCCTGGAGGTGTCCGTGAACCTGTGACTTGGGAGTCTGTAGCCACCTCAGCGCTTAGACTCATTTCCTTGCCTGAGGGGGCAGGGGCAGGAACAAAAATTCCCATTGCAGAGTAGAAATCCCTGCAGGGGCCATCTTGGGACAATGTCACTCCTGGGAGTATGATTGGGTGACACCTG